TTGACATGACACACAGACTGAAATAAAGCACGCGCACTGCCCCCCCACTGATTCGCATCCCGCCCGCAACAGCAGGAGTTCTGTAGAGATCTCTTTTGGCAATAAATGGAGCAGGACAGGCAGTTACGAAGTGTAAAATCCTTCAATTTGTCTCCGGAGAATGTCAATGGAGACGGTTACACAGACTTGACATTTTCCCGCTCACGCTCTCTTACACCCTTCCTTCAGTAGGGCAACAACAAGGAGACTTCAAAATCGAAAGCCATACATTTGTGTTAGTCTTATCAAACATTCTCTAAAACACATTTCCTTAGCCAGCAAGCTTTCAAGCGCTGGACTCAAAAAAAAAAAAAAGAGCTTTTACTCTGCTCCCGGTAAAGTAGATGCGAAATCTTTTTTTACAGCCTCGGGTAGTAAACATGTTTCTCTGATACCATTTAACACTAAGCGTCCTGCACTTCAATAAACGTGTGAATGTGAATCAGTGTGAGTCGGTTGAGGAATACTTTTCTCTTGCAACTGATGATGAGCCCTGGAAAATTTTAGCATGTGATTGTATGTCCTTGAAGAGGAAAAAGCTTTGATAGCTTTTATGCTTTGTTAAAGCCCAGACGATTAATTTTGTCATGTACTGAAGCTTCAATTTCAAACCTGTTTGACATAATGCAAAAACCCTGCCGATTAAGGGCATTATTTACAAAAGGTTTGTGCAAAAATAATTGATAGCGTAGGCAGATCATTGTGAACTGATTTCCGAATTAGGTGCAACATGGATTGTGACAGTTGCGCACTGCATTTTTCACCTGCTGAAATGAGTGTATGCAAATACTGTAAATAAACTGTCATGGTGGACAACACCTCCTCACAGTACAGAGGTCACGGGTTCAAATCTGGAAGCCAACCTTCCTGTGCATGGTTTGCGTCTTCTTCCCATGCCTGCTTGGGTTTTCTCCGGGTAGTCCGGTTTCCCCCCCACATTCCAAAAACAATGCACAGTAGGTTAATTGAACACTCTAAAATTGTCCATAGATGTGAATGGTTGCTCGTCTTTGTGTGTCCTGAGATTGGCTGGCAACCAGTTCAGGGTGGGCCCCGCCTACCGCCAAAAGACAACTGGGATTGGCTCCAGCACGCCCGTGAGTATAAGCGGTTAGGAACATGGATGGATGAATGTATGGATAAATTTAGCTTGTGCGATGTAATCGTTCTGATTTTGCTTTATCTTTAAATGCAGCATCTGAAAGACAGGTGCATAACGGCATGCACGGAGACGGCGGAGAAAAGTTATCTGGTCTTGTAATATTTTGCAAATGTCAAATACAAAATTTATCACAGCATATTGTTAATTCCCCACATTGCAATTTTGGAGTTTCTGAATGATGTAAGGAGGGGTGACTGGTAGCCAGTTGCAAGAACTAGTCAAGCCATATCCCCAATTTCAAAATTCCTTTCAACTGCATTACCCGGTATTTGAGTTAATTTATTTCAGCACAGAGCGGCCCAGTGTTCCAGTGATTAACGTGTCGACCTCACAGTGCAGAGGTCTTGGGTTCGATCCCGGCTCCGGCCTTCCTGTGTGGAGTTTGCATGCTCTCCCCATGCCTGCGTGGGTTTTCTTCGGGTACTCTGGTTTCCTCCCACATTTCAAAAACATGCATGACAGGTTAATGGAAGACTCTAAATTGTCCCTAAGTGTGAGTGTGAGCGCGGATGCTTGTTCGTCTCTGTGTGCCCTGCGATTGGCTGGCAACCGGTTCAGGGTGTCCCCCCTCCTACTGCCTGAATACAGCTGGTATAGGCTACAGCCCCCCCCCCCCCCCGCGACCCTTGTGAGGATTAAGTGGATCGGAAAATGGATGGAAGATGGGTATTTCAGCACACTGTGGCACATCAGTGATAGCCTCTCTAAAAGCAATATTTCATGTTTTGTCCGAAGTTTTAAACGCACTGAAGTCCTTTGCCACTGGTTTTTCAGGAAAACTCACGTTAATATTAAAATCCTCGATAAGGAGGATATGATCAAACTTGAGCCCGAGTTCAGCAACAAGATTTGAAATTGTTCAAAAAGTCCTTATTATATTTAGGAGAATGGTAAATGACAGCGCAGAGAACAGGGTCAGCACGGCCTACTTAAAAAAAAGTTGCTTCAAAGCTTATGATTGATGTGGCGAATATACCCTGTTCCATTTTAAATTGTTTTTAAAAATACTCACTGTTCCTCCACCATGGACTGAAGTCCTCTGGGAGTCCAAGAAGGCACAGTCAGGTGGCACCATTTCAATCAAAGTTTTATACTCACTGGTGCCTGTCCAAGTCTCCGTCTTACAGAGGAACTCAAAGCTTCTTTTGTGTAACTGATTGTTTGTCTTCCATGTAGGGTGGGCATGTTTGGATTTAGACGCTTCCGGATCTGAGATCGATTCTTTGATTCCATTCTGGTTACTAACGATTCTGGATTCTGATTCTTCGTTTAAAAAAAAAAAAAAAAGAAAAAAAAGGGGAACTAACCAAAACTACTTTTGGCCAAATCATGTGAAAGCAGACTGCTATTTGTGCATAGCCTATGTATGTATGTATGGATGGATGTATTATGTACGGTATGTCTGATTTAATGAGTTGAGTGTTTTGGGTCCTATTTGGCTGACAGAACTTTTTGTGTTAGCTTTGGTTGCCCTGAGTCACGAACTGCCCCACTGTTGTGTGGTGTTCCACAGGGTTCATTTCAGGGGCTTCGGTTGGTTTCATTATATCCGCAATCTCTGAATTCTATCTTATGAAACAAGTTATTTCTTTCCATTGCTATGTGGATGACTGTGAGGTCTGTGTACCGCTGAGCAAAAAAGACTTCACGTCAATAAAATATATGTTGGGACTATATAAAAGTAAATGGAATCAATCTCAATCAAATATTTCAAATAACTTGCTTGGGTTACAATTTATGGTTTAATGAGATCAGTAAAATTATATGTTTCACTAAACATTTGATGTAGTAGCCAGTGAATCGTCTCTACATGCAGCCAATTCGGCATGTAGTATTCAATCTGCTGAACAGGCGTGGATGGTCAGAGCAAGAACCAAATCGAAATATGCTAATTTGGGGTATTTCTTGCACAGCGGCTTGGCAGTCTTAAACACAAGCTGCTGACTTGTTTCATGCACTGGAGGGTCAGCGAGGGAAGTCATACATTCATGTTTGACCTGCTTATCTACTGTGATGATGTATCAGGAGAATCAGCACTGCAGTTTTTGGTCCTGACTTTATTTTCAGGAGGATGTGTGGCATTTATAACTAACTAAATAAATAAAAGATCATTTCACTTCCAATAAAACCTGCTTAGTGAAATTGTCACTGCTCTTGCCCTTGTCCATATATACTGTAGTAACTGTAGTGAGCAAAGATGTTGTCCTTGCAGTTGGCCATTTCGAGGACAACCGGGAGTGCTTAACATTCGCCGAGTGTCTGCTGTCTCCCCTTGTGGGCCTGACGTTTTGCCATTTGCTGGGCCTGATGGGGATTTTAATTCTGCCAGCCTGTCAATCCAACAATCCTCCTCTCTTCCCTTGACACGCTTCGTGATTAACCCCAACAAAACGCCTCTTGTCAGCTCTCTGCTTCATCTTTCCCTGCCATTGTATCTCAACACTGTCTTTCCCACGGCGAAGAGCTTTTATTTATTGACACTTTATGAGTTCACGTATACGGCCTATCACGAAGCCATGTCTTTCTGTCAGCTTCCTCTGATCCCACTCTGCTCTCCTAGTGCTATTTTTTATTCACCCTAACTTCACCTGCACACACTTTCCTCTTTGGCTTTTCCTTCTTATCTGCATCCATGCTCCACCATCCTGGCAAAAGACACATTCACTTCTCACCTCCTCGTCTGTTCAAAACTGACTTATCCTTGGCTTTTGACTGAAAAAGTCATTCGAGGTTGTGTTGGTTCACTCCGCAATACACGGAATGCATCACTAACCTCAATGTGAGCTCTCGTTCCGCACGTGGGTGTGCACATGGGTGAGCGTGTGACGGAGATAAGCATTTGATACAAAATATCATGTTTCCAAAAGTGATCATCTACAAAAGAGAGGAAGGGTGTACAAGCGTGCTCTTCTTTGAACCGCAGCACATTTTCATATCAAGGTCTTCAAATTCCGCTCACGCAACATCAGACAACAAATCCAAGCGCTGTGGATCAGATGAAAACTGGCTCCAAATCAAATAGATCAACTTTGCCTCAACTGGCTTTTTCAACTTGCTCTTCAAGCATATGTTGCTCCCCATCCGCTTCATTCAGAGGCAGGTTTTGCCATTATCTCACTGCTTATTATTTAAGAAACTGAAATGCTTCATTGTGTACATATCTAACAGTTTGCGCGTTGTTCTTGTTGTTGTTGGGGGGAACAAAAGCCATGCCATGCAAATTCAGCTTTTGCGATTAATTTTAGCCCCTTGCTTGATTTTTATGCAGATCCAAAAGTCGGAAGACTTTGCCAACTTTGATCATTCTAGTTTATAATAGCATCTCCAGCATATGGCAGAGGAGGGCCGTCCCATTGTAATCAGACGACTATTTAAGGACTCCCATGTTGTCATGTCTCTAACCGATAATTCTCTTTGCTCATGACTGTCACCAAATGTTGAATTTGTCTCGGCGTTCCATATTCCTGCTCCAGGTTTTCTTTGTAAGTAGTTTTTTGTTGTAGTTATAATCACGGTTTTTCTATTATACGCGTTTGGGTTTCTTCTTGTCTATTTATTGGTCAAGCAATTTCCGTTTATGTTTTTATCCTTGCCTTTTTTGGAAGTGATCTTGGTTGTTTCCTTTTCCAGGTGTTGTAACAGCATTCTTTGTTGAACTTATTTGGTCTTGCGACCTATTTTCATTCATAAACCTTTTTTTGTCACTTCTTTCCAAGTTCATGTTCCTGGAGTCCAATTCTTTCCAGAAACCTCGCATATGTTTGTTCAGGATGATTGTGTTTCATCATTTCTCCATTTTTATCAGCAGTCTTGAAATGTTATCTTCTTGGCTCTTCGAAATTTTGTCCTCCATTGAAAACATACTCTTATGTATAGATTGACAACATAAAGCTAGGCTGTAAATAGGAGCTCATGGGGCATTTGAACCAAAGACTTTTTTTTATGTGGTTATAAGAAGCATGAATCACTCCTGATGCTTAGCATACAATCCATTCAGATTCCTGCCATACTGGACTTACTGCATTTAATTCTATCCATTCATCTATTAGCCGAACCGCTTGTCCTCATGAGGGTCTCAGGCATGCTGTTTGTAGAAAATAAATAAATATATATATATTTTTTTAAAGGCTTATTTGTGTTTAACTGAGACAATTATGAACACAAACACATGCTTAAAAGTATTTACTGTACATGATTCCCTCAGACTTAATCAATTGGTCATCCATCAATTTTCTGAACCACTTTACCGTCAGTTCGAAAAGAAAAAAAAATCTTGCGGCATTGCAGTATTTAACCCGCAGCGTGATGTAACCTGCCACCCAGTCCACATTGTGCTGTACAAAAGTCATTCAAAAAATGCATGGCTGTATTGTATTTAATCACAAAGGGTATGATCGTCCCACTGTGCAACAAGTCAGACATCATCAGGCCCACTATTGTGAGAAACTGCAGAATCAACTTGGACTTGAAGCTGGTGCTTGTTTGTTTGAGTAAATAGGGCTGTGGCTCTGCACAGCATGAAGGCCAAATGTTCGTGCAACATGACAGCTAATTTCAGTGGGAGTGCTTATTAATAGCGATGCATGGGGCACCTACTCCCATTGTAATTATTACGTAAGTGGATGCTCGTATATATTACCTGATACGATCTACATCTTCACCTTGCATTAACACATTTCATGTCCACGCATGTGTGATTGAACGTAGAAAGACAAATGTGTGAGATACTGCTTACATTTATCTTTGCGTCTCTTGGGCTCTATGTCTAGATAAAGCATGTCTGTCTATAGTCCTAATGTTATTTATGTTCTCTCCTTGATGTTCAGCCAAAAAATGGATTTTTAACACCTGTGGTGCTGGTGGCCCAGAAGGTCCAACTCCCTCCCAGTGCTTCAATTCTTATAGGAGCAGCAAAATCAATGTGACGGTGGGCACCCGGGGTCCCTTCAAAGGCATTCAGATGTGGCAGGTCCCTGAAACGGGCACATACAGGTAGGAGCCAGTCATTATTTGTTGAAAATGTTTACAATATACCCGTATTACATTGAACTGATTATTATGATTAAAACTAAAATGTGCGTGTTTATTAGATGGGCTTTGACATGTCATTCATTTTTTTAATTTTGTCAATTGACAAAATTTAAAAAATGAACAATTTGGTACATTTTTCAGATCACAACTGAAATTCTCAAAATCTTCACATCATTGTGTCACTTGTGCACCTCATCAAAAGCTGTTCCAACTTAATTAATTTAGCTTAAAATGACCAGTGCGGTGAATTAAAAGTAACAGACTTTTATTTGTGTTAAAAATTTCTTTTCAGTTATATGTTCAATTTTGATATATAGGTTGTTTAATGTTTTAATTTTTTTTAGCATTCCTACATCATGTAACTTGTTATGATCTCAGGTTTTGGCCAGGTGTGATACTGTTTTGTCCACCTTGTGCATGTCAGATGTCGCTCAACGTGGTCCAAGGAACACTCAGGGAGTTTGAGTGAATGCTGGGACACATGGAAAGTTCGAGGGAACATGTAAACACTGAATATCGAGTTTACCCAAAGGAGACTGACACATTTCATTTGTTTTTTTGTTTTTTTCTTTGTGCGATGCAATGCTTTCTTCTCCTTTCTGAATTGCAATGTGATGATGGTCTTTGAACAAATTGCAGGGCAAACAGTGAAAGCGTAACTGCAAACCTTTTCTAGTCTCTTGCAACCAATCTTCCACATCCACGAAGGTGTAACTTGCAATTTGGAATAATGTTCACTCAAAACTTTAGCCACATTTTACATTACAACATCCCTCCAGAAGACACTGTTACATTGATAACAAGACTAAATAATTTTAATTATCTAGACACAAGGTCATGTCATTCTGATCGCACTTACTTATGTTCAGTGACACTGATATTTACTTTTGAGATACGTAATAAGGATTTGGGGAAAGAGACTGTCAGAGATGTTCGCTCGGACAGTTGAACAGAGGCTCAACGCAGGAACAGATCGACTTTCACTGCCGGCAAGAGGCGCAGTTTTCTATGAAGCCACTCTTTGTGCGCTTCTCAACTGACACCCGACCTCTGCAGCCTCTGCCAGCTTTTTATTGATCGTGTATGCAAATTACAAGTAATATATCGGAAAAACACTCCCATCTTCATTTACATACCACGCCCCTGGACGGCCCCAATGGGTCGCCCCTCAGTGGACCCCGGAAGGCCAAGGCATTCCCCTGGTACCAGCACCCACATCCATAAACCAACAAAAACGTAGACATTTTAATGAGTGGCCTTTCCATGAATGGATACATCTGTAACCTGGCTAGTGACCCTTTCTCATGATGGAGCGGACCGAGTATTCCCTTTCGCCCAAAGTTAAATCTTCCTTTCCAAGTTGTCAGTTAACAGGTGCCTCTGGGTCCTCAAATTGACCCTTGATTCTCTGTGCTCCATTGTGTGCAAGCTGTATGAACACACGCGTTCGAGGTCAATTAAGCATGTAACAAAATGAAACTTTTACAACATTTTTACATTGTGTTTGTCAATTCTCCATCAGAGACTTAATGGGATCAATTGTTTTCTGCTATTTGTATGATTCGTCTTGAGAAATGTACGTACCATTTTGTGAATTTAGAGGACGGTTCGAGAAATGTACCAAAGCGACTAAGCGACTGCAGCCATGATGCAAAACATACATACTTGTACAGCTCACATTAAAAACGTCTTTCGCGAGCACAGCCAGTCTAGAACATCTCATGGCTTTCATAACAATGCGCTCTCCTCCTCCCACCCACTTCTTCCGCTCTTGTGTGCATCAGCAGAGTATCAAGGTTGCTCAAGAGTACAGAGGAGTCGAGAAGAGAATTTTCAAAAAGGATTCAAAAATACATCAACAATCAGCCCGAGCCCATTGTCCTCAAACTGTTTTTTTACACTGGAATTCAATATGTAGTATCAATCATTGTAGGCAGGCATCAATATTTATCCCGTGGGCGTTTTATGAAAACATGAAGCATTTATCTTGAACTCGACTTTGGAAAAGTTCTCACCTCACTGCCTACTCAGCCCTGCTGAGTCTTGAGTCTTTAAATACCTTACAACGGTCATGACACATGTCCCAGAGTTTTGAGAAAAACACCTCCTGCCTCGAAACTTCAAAATTGTGGCTTGAAAGCAGCCTGGTTATCTGGCAGAGCCAGTAAATGAAGTTGACAGACGGCCACAGAGATGAATGTGAGCTCTGCATCTCCCAAAAGTCATTAGGCAAACAGCTGAGGTAGCTACCGAGCACCAGGCAGCGTTCTCTCTCCACCGAGCATGACCACCAGGGAAGAGCAATATTGAAGCACTCCCAAAAACCAATCAATTTTTTTTTGTCTGGCTGGTAAAACTGGGGCAGTTAAAATGGACGTCATGTGCAATGAAAGTCTATGTATTTGCTTTATGTGTGTCCGCATTTAACTCAAAGCATGACGACGGTGTGCGTACGTGCCTTGAAGCTCAATTACGTGCCCTGAAGCTCAATTATTATTATTAAAGGATGAGAAAAAGTGTAACTTTCCCACTTTCATTTCAATTTAGTTGTTGTACATATTGATGGAGCTCTGAGTTATTTCTAGTATACAGTTTATCCATAGTTAATGAAATGAATGAATTATGATTATTTGTGCTTGTTTTTGCTTGTCCTCCTGTTTGCTGTGTTGGTAGGATCACAGCCTCTGGGGCAGCAGGCGGCCGAAGCGTTATGGCTATGAGTAGATCGCATGGCATCTACATCGCTGGTGACTTTCTGCTGAGGAAAGGAGAGCTGCTTTACATCCTGGTTGGTCAAAAAGGAGAGGATGCATGTCCCAATGTAAGTTAAATTCAAATCATTGTGTTTCACAAAATATCAAACTTTATTGCCAGAAACACTCATAGTGATAGATAGATAGATAGATAGATAGATAGATAGATAGATAGATAGATAGATAGATAGATAGATAGATAGAGAGCAGTCTACACTGTGTTAGTAGAAATGTCCACTAAACGGCTATTTAAATCACCAACCAAGCACACAATGATCACCCTGTTGTATCTCCTTGGCTTACTTTTGTCGGAGGTGGCTGTTACCAGTTATGCACTGCAGCTCTTTGCTGGCAGCCTTGCTGTATGCTTACACAACGCTCCGATTAAAAAAAACTCCCAACCCCACTAGTCAAAAATAAAAACGTCCATCATTTCCAATGTAAACATTCAGAAAGGAAGGCCAGACTCGACAATGAAAATTTCTCATATGAACAAAGTAAGATGGTTTGTGGACATTATTCAGTTTGTGAATTAACTGTATTTGATGTACCTCATGTCAGATCAAGTCCTTGCTATTGACCCCACACAAATGAGATTTTTATTTTATTTTTTCGGGTGAACTCAAGAACAGACCCACAGACAGATGGTGGAAAAATCACATTTTTGGTGATTTTATAGCTCTGTAGTTGGCGAGAAATTCATATTTGACATAAGGCTGTTAAATAAAAATAGACTTACGTTAAACGATTGGCCCACAGTAACTAACCTTGCCATAACACGGCTGTAATGTTGGCTTGTAACGCTATCTGACTGTCTTTTATTCCAATATATTTAACCATCAGCATCTCTGAATGTACCACTACATAGTTTTTAGTGAATAAAACACATCACTGAAAGCTTTTGAACAGTGTCAGTTCGATGAGTATGATCCCATACCTGTAATTTTATTCGAATATATCTGAATAACAGTGAGGGATCTTCAAGCTCTTTTAAGTGTTTGTTTTAACTGAATGTACTATGACTGGTGTTGAGAGGGATAAATCCTCATCCTCTGCACATATTAAGTCAGAAGATCAGCTTCGGAAAATGGTTTTCAATATTTTCACCAGCACTACACAAATACACTGATATTAGCTTGAGATAGGGTATTGAATGCATATTTTTGAACAAGGGGGCCTGCATAGAACATCCTACTCCACTCTCAATACACTACTTTAGGAGAAAGTGTCGTCATGTTTATTAAAGCATGCAGATTGTACACAAAAATTCTATAACCCGCGATAATAGCGACATGCATCCTAGCTTAATTAGAAAACCAGAAAGAGTGTATCCAGAATCGAGGCATTGCATTCTTTTGCTATTTGTCTTTGCAAACATTGTGCTCACGTTACGCTGCACCAGTGGTGTCAAACATACGGCCTGCGGGCCAGAACCGGCCCCCAAGGAGGTTCGATCAGGCCCGCAGGATCATTTAAAAGTGAAAAAATGTATAAAAGACACGGAATGAATATTTTAATAAGGTACAATTCATGGAGTATCCGCTAGGGGACACACTGTTTTGGTCAGAGTAGGAGACAACATTGTTCTGATCAGAGAAGAAGGCAACAGCAGTCTCAGTCTGTCACTGAGACAGAGCCAACACAGCAGACGCTATCAAGGACATGTGAATACTTTATTCTTTACACATTTAATAGCATTCCTTAGTTTGTAAAGTGTAGGCAGGGATTACATTTAGATTTTATATGCACATCTGTAAATGGTTTAAAAATTCCTTTCTTTCTAAATCTCGTTTAATCTTAAAGTGCATTACTATACTTTTCAAGACCAATTACTTGTTCAAGTTTTGTGCCTTTGTACAATCAGTGGGATCAGTTGTAATGCATATATGTGAATGCTAAAAGTACAGGTAAATTGCACGCACATTTGTCTAAGGAAATCTAAGGTGCTTCATGAAATGTTTTGTAAAAGATTTTTTCATTAAATTTCAAAATTTTCCGAATGTTCTTGTGCTTCTTTAGACCAAAACAAAGGAAAGACATGTTATTTTGGTTATTTAGCAGAGTATGGTATAATTTCAATGGTCCGGCCCACTTGACATCTAACAAGGCCGCATGTGGCCCACAATGTGAAATGAGTTTGACACCCCTGCTCTACACACAGTCAGGACTCAATGTTCATGCCACATGCACATTATTTTTATGCAAACCGTATACAGAAACGGTCACATGAAACAGTACGTGTTAAAGTACACCATTGTCCAAGGATGTTATAGACATTGGCGAAGATTGGTCTGTTTATTGCATACAGTACAGTATACAGAACAGTATGTGTTTGGAGATGTTCGCAGCAAAAACCCAACCATTCACCTTTTTCTGCAGCAGACCAACAGTAGATATCGGAGTCACTCACAATATTTCATTAACATTCCTATTTATTGCCCAGAGATTGGCTGATGACCAGTCTAGTGTCTATCCTGCCTCTCACCCAATAGCAGCTAGGCTAGGTTCCAGCTCACACACCCCTCCCCCTGACCCTAATCGGGACAAGCGGTATGGAAAATGAATTCATTTACATTTCAAAGAACAGTAATTTCCTGCTTCCACACTTATGTCATACTGTATGTTCCCTCGAGAACTTCATGATATTCATGATTTTTCAGGAACTCACGGAATCACTGTCAGACCACAAGTGTATACATCTTTTCAGAAACAGCCTCAAAAAGTCACATTAAAAAGAAAAAAATAATGTGACTAAAGGCGTTCTCTAGTGTGCAATAAAAACTGCACCTGTCAATGTATTGCTCCAAATCGGGGTCAAAGCTAGGATCTGAACTCAGTCTCTGATGAGATTATTCGGAATGTAGCACCTTGCATTTAGTGTGCTACTCTCAATAAATAATGAAAGGGGAAGTCAAGTAAAAAAATAAAATAAAATCAACTCGTGAACGTCACATGATCAAACCCGGAAAACAAGTAAACCGACCATCACGGTCGTGACCCGAGCCCTTGGGCACTGTGATGTCATTTTCAATTGACAGCAAGTTGCAATATGTACAAGGCAAAATGGCCGACCCATTAGTTGGATAGAAACGGGTGGATTTTTTTCTCATTTATCTATATTCCATCCATCCATTTTCCACCGCTTATCCGGGGTCGGGTCGCGGGGGCAGCAGCTTTAGGAGGGAATCCCAGACTTCCCTCTCCCCAGCCACTTCTTTGAGCTCTTCCTGGCGGATCCCGAGGCGTTCCCAT